GGAGGTATAGAAATGCTAACTGTGGTTCAAACAAGAACCACCCGGTTCGTTCTGCATTTGTATTTGGAACGCCGTTTCAAAACCAAAGTAAAAGTGAACCCCCTCCTCCCCCCCCAAAAAAAAAAAAAAAAAACATGTTAGGCTAGGTGGCGCAAGCTGCCGCCCGTTACAAAAGGTATAGCCATTACCATCCATTCATATATTAAAAGATTTTTTATATATTTTTTTTTATTGCAAAAATAATTTACGCATCGCCGAGCGCTCATTCTCCGCCCAAAGGTAGCGCTAGAGGGGTTCGAACCAGATACCAAAGTTTCAGCCCGAACCAATATCTTATTCAAAAGTTATGATTATCTGAAAATTTCAATGGGAAAATGGCGGCCAACGGAGGAGCTCTCGAATACAGCTAGGAGCTCTACGGCGCCAAAAACCGAAAATGGGTAGAAAACAGGTCCCCATTTTCCTATTGAAATTTTCAGAAAATCATTCATAACTTTTGAATAAGATATATCCGTTCGTGCTGAAATTTTCCCATCTGGTTCGGACCTCGAGCGCTACCTCTGAGCAGAAAATGAGCGTTCAGAAACGCGTAATTTTTTTAGTGGAAACACTTTGTAGACTGTGTTTTTCTTTTTTCCTCGCACTTTATGTATTTTCTGAGCCCTAGTTATCACACTCTCGCATTACAACGCTATCAGTTAGTTTTTTGTGGCCTTACAAATAAACCTCGAAACCGGACGTCTGCTGAATCGTCGCACACTTGGACAGCCGAGTCTTTCCTACACATTGGTTAAACACATAATTACGAGAGAGAGAGAGAGAGAGAGAGAGAGAGAGAGAGAGAGAGAGAGAGAGAGAGAGAGAGAGAGAGAGAGAGAGAAGAAGAAGAAAGCGGCTACCGAAGGGTATTTTCACGGTTTCAAGTGGCCATGCGGTGCATGGTAGGCGAATATGGATGGTTTCTGCTTACAAAAGTAGAATATGTTCATCAAAGGTGAAACCGACTACGCAAAGAGATGGCAAAAGCATAAACTGCTTAAAAAAGCAAACGAAAAAAAAAAAAAAAAAAGGTTGTGAGGAGATATGTGCACCAAAGACTCAGCATGATGGATGACCACTGTATTCGTCTTTCCAGGAATCACGGTACAGGCATGCGCTGCGGTTTATCGTTCGCCTTTTACTTTCCAGTCAGAACGCTCGGCTAAATGAATTATTAATACGCATAAGCTAACTAAAATAGAGTAATTATTATTCCCGTCTCGAAGATGAGTAAAGGAGCAGAACTCGCGCAGATTAAGTATATATTAAAAAAAAAAAGACAAATAAAAACTTACAAAGAAGAAATAAAAACAACACAAGCCTGGTTGTTAATTTTACTTGAGGTCTCTTGTCGCCACTTGTGTACGTGCGAAACGTGCAAATGCGCTGGATGACGTTACCGTCTTTTATGACGTCATCAGTTGGAAATTCTGCAAGTACGTAAGCACAGCGAGTCTTTAATAGAAAAAAAAAAAGAAGAGGCAAAAAGAAGCAGCGGGGCAGCAAAACTGAATAAAGATGTCTGGAACAGCATGCACGAAAAACGAACGATATTCAAAATATGCGAGTCTTTCCACAATATTTTCGAACCTTGATTTACTACACATGAAGTGCAAATAGGGACTCGTCAAAATCCACACTGCATATTATACATCTCTGCAATATATACACCAAAACGCAATTTTCATCTTTAAAAAAAAAAAAAAAAAAGTGAGATTAATTTCTTTTTTTTTAACTTTGCGGGACTTTTGGTTAACTTTTCAGACCTGACTGGCGCTACAAACACCATTCTTTTCACCAACAAAAAACATAACAAAAACGTTTTTTTTTTTGCTTTGTCGGAAAACAAAACGAATTTGGTGCACACCGAACCAATGTTTTTAACGAATGCCTGCCATTATCCCATAAAACTGATCGTCTCATCAGAGCATGTGCCAAAGACTACACAAAGAGACAACAAGGCACATTAAACACAAAAGGAAGCTGCTTTTTTTTTTTTGCGCTATTTACAATTTGGTTTGCCCAGCAGAACAATTACGATCTGGTCGAGGTTTACTCCCTCGCTAGTTCACCAATTTTATGCCTTTCGGTTGTAAATTTTAAAGTTTACATCTCCCAAAGATTAATTTTGGTTGTTAGAATTTACTCCAAATCGGGTTTTATTGAAGTTTACACTCTCCAAATAGTAAAGGGACTTATTTAGCTTTTGGGTGATATAATTGACCCCAAAACTATTTTTGTAGGCTTACATATTTCTAGGAGTCAAGGGACATTGTACTTTTGGGTGTTATAATTTACTTCAAAAAGGAATTCATTGATGCACTTTTGGGTGTTATAATTTACTTTTCATTGAAGTTTACACCCTTGAAGGGGTCAAAGGAACTCAGTTTTTGGGTGTTATAATTTACTTTAAAACGATTTTATTGAAGTTTACACCTCCAAGGGCGAAGGAATCTCAGCTTTTGGGTGTTCTAATTACTCCAAAAACCGTCTTCTTAATGTTTACATCCCTTCAAGGAGTCACGGAACATTCAACTTTTGAATGTTTTAGTTGACTCCAAAAAACGGGTTTCTTGAAGTTTATACCCTCAAAGGAGTCAAGAGATACTAAACTTTTGGGTGTTATAGCTTACCTAAAAACAACAACAACGGGCTTATTCAAGTTTACACCCTCCAAGGAGACAAGAAACACTCAGCTTTTGGGTGTTAATTTACGCGACAGTTTGTAGCACTTCTTTTCACTGGACATATGCAAAAATTCGTAAACGTTCCATACTATACACAAGCGATAGGTGCTAATCAGAATGTTAGAAATGATCCGAGCTCTACATTAACAAACAATATTTTTTTTTTTTTACGCTGGAGCCCAGTGAAACAATTTAGGTAGCAACGCATTAAGATAGAGCCATTAATAATACTGCATATTAACTTAATTGAGTGGTAAATACTTACGCAAACGAAGAGCAACCATTCAGTCGATCGATTTCTATTTTTTTTATTTTCTCCTTCTGGATGGGCGCGGCGTAGATCAAAAAGCCGTCGGACCAGCAAACGAATCTTCTTAGTTTTAGAGATATTTTCGGAGCTCCCGTGCCGCTGCTTCCTCCGCTAAACTTAGCCAAAGCAGCAAAGCAGACACGAACCAGGCGCATCGCTATCGCGAGCGGCCAAAATAAAACGGTCGTCTGCTAAACGTCCGCTCGCTTTCTAAGTAGCCAGCGTCTGTCGTCATTTGCCCAACTGGAAATATTATTAACGAACCACGACTCGAAAAGAGACAGTTTGAATCGTCGTGGCGGCGTTTTCGGATCCGAGCCATTCACCTTCGGAGTAGTGGGGTTCGGTATCTGTGTTAGAGATCGCACGCTCCAAATATAATGATATAAACATGTACAAACGGGAGTGGGGCTGAGGAGTCATTACTCAGCAAGCTGCGTTCTATTTCTGCTCCGAACACACACAGAGCCCGAAACCGCGTGAACACCGCGAAGGGGTTCACCTATTTGTACGTTTAACTGGCGCGAGGCGTTGCGATTTATGTGCGAATGTGATGAAGGTTTCACCGCGATAAAAAAAAAAAACTACCAAATGCCCCCCCCCCCCCCCCCCCAAAAAAAAAAGAAAAAAAAAAAAAGAAAGAAAGAAAGAAAGAAAGAAAGAAAAGTAGTATTTCTTTTATTTTTGAAATAAACTATAAATTGCTGAACGCTAAGTTTCTCCCAAACTCAGCGCTAGCGGCAGGGGCTATAGATGCCAAAGTTTCAGAACCGTTATCTTATTAAAAAGTTATACACAATTTTCTGAAACTTTCAATGGGAAAATGGGGCGTTCCCGCGGTAGCAGACGCCACTCATCCCGATATGTTCGTGCGCTACGTCTGCTTTCCCATTGAAAGTTAAAAAGAAGATCTCGTATAACCTTAGGATAAGATTAGTTAGTTGTGAAACGTTGACATCCGATCCGGAGATTTGGGCGGAGAACGAGCGCTCGGTAATGCGTCGTTTACAAAACTTTTTTTTCTTCACAAACACCCCGTGATATATATATAAGTACGGACTCCGCTTTTTCAGCTACACTTTACTAATTAAAAAAATACAACAGTAGAATGACCAAGCAAAATACGGAGTTTCAATAAAAGAAAAAAAAACAAAAAAAAAAAAAACATCACGTAGAGTTGGGAGGACGAAACTGGAGGTGCCCTAAACTCGTCAAACACAAAGTATTAGCCGAAAGTTCGCGATGCGCGCCGATTGGACGTCGGCGATAAAAAGCGCGAAGTCATCGTCGTGATAGGCCAGTCGGTGCGCTCCGTCAACGTCGGCCCCGACTTCGTGTTTGACGAGTTTAGAGGCCCAGAACTTTCATATAGTTATAGACCAACACGCGTCCCTGACGTCACGCAGCTGCGGTGGCGCTGTCGACGGCACTGCGCATGCGCAGAAGCTTCAGTTCACTCGAATTCGGTTTCTGCGCACACGCAGTGCCCACACGTGGTGTGGGCAAACGCGGGCTTGTTTGAAAACAGCGTGTCGGTCTTTGTCGTGTATCCTCCACCCATCTCAATGCCTGCAGCTTGTGGAGCGCCCACCTCGTTTTTTGTAATTCTCGGCAAGAGCCTGTATCCGTTTATTTTCTCATAACAATGACGTGCAATTGCTAACTTGTTTTTCTTTTTGCGCCGTTTCTTACGTTTCTTATTTCAAAACTGTTTAGACACCAGCTTCCTTTTTAATGCTCACTAATGTTGTTACTGCGCATGTCCCTCGCTGCCATGCAATTCGACTAAGGATTTCCTGCCACTTGCACGAAATCTAGTTGTGCACAGTGTCGTGGAAAGGTATCCGTATCAGCACGACATTACCAAAAGCACTCCTTTCGCTCCCATGATAGACAGTTTCTTGTATAATACTGTTTCTGAATGCCACGTTAATGCTCCGTTCTATCCCAATTTTTCGTTCCAGGGTTCTACTTCCGCAAGGTGAGCAGACATAATTTTTGTTTCCCACATATATTCATTGACCGCCCTTACTAATTAGGCGTCTGGAGCGCGTCCCCGACTGGCGTGTTTAGCCAAAGTTACCAAATTACCTCAGTTGTGGAACTCCCGCGGAAGGGGTACCCCCCTCACTCACTGTGTGTTCCATAGAGTACGGTGGAACGCCATCTAGACGCTGCCCTTCGAAACATACGCATCCCATAGAATACACTGCAGTTACCAAAGCAGCCGTACGGCGCGTCGAACAACTGGAGGCAAGTTGTGGTGAGTGAGGGGGGTTACTGCTGGTGCATGCAGCGTCTATGAGCAGTTCCGTAACTGAGCTAATCGAATAAATGTTGGTCTAGCATCCCGAAGTGACAACAGATGACGTCACGGAGGCCGCTGTGTCACGCTGTCAGATGTCATGATCCCGACGGTTGGTCTTAAAAAATGCTGGCGAAAAGCACGAGCGAATGCGAGTTGGGACATCGCGACGTCTCAACTCTTGGCTGCCGAAGCTTCAGCGGACTGTCGAATTGGAGAGCAACCTGCAGCAAAACACGCGTCTGTCACTCACACCACCGCTGCTGGGACGCCGCCAGGATCGCGACCGGCGACAGTGTGACACTTTTTACAACGTCACCACTACCACCAAGCAACGTTACTAGATTACCTCAGTTGGTGGAACTCCTGCGGAAGGGGGTTCGGCCATTTATCGTACGTAACGACGGAAAGTCAAAGCTGCTACAATGGTGAAAGCGAGACAAGGTTAGGTTGAGAGTTATCCCGAGAAAAATGTCCACGAAGAATCTCCCTCGTGTCAGTGGAAAGCTAGCAACCCCAATGCGTGGTAGGAGGCGCAAGCTACCACCGACCATCAAGGGCGTAGTCGCCACTAGGGCCACCACTACCAAAGCTATACTTCAGAATAACACTTCGGCCATCTTGTTGCTTACAATCACTTTTGCCAGCCATCTGCAGCTTTACCCGAGTATGCAGGCGACGCTTTTCCGTATTTTAGCAGCGTCCAGACAGTTTGAACAGAGCAAAACAATACAGCCAAAGCCTCCGAACATCATAACCCCAAAACTAGGGAAGTCACATTTTCAAATGGTAGCTATCGCCAATAGACCCCCTCCCCCGCACTAGGCAACAAAACGGTGGCATCCACAGGACAATGGGGGATAGGGATATCCATACTCTAAACATAGCTAGCGACTCTAGCGACCACCATCCATCGGACTGTTCACGGTGCCCTGGATCTGCGCAGTATGCCCGTGACATGTGCCAGAGCCTGGGAGTCCGCGGCTGGATCAAGCTCACCAACTGGGGCACCGTCGTGGGGCAGCTTCAGGGCGAGAAGGAACACGTCGACCAGATGCAAGTACCTTCTCAGAGTCCTCTGTCATCAGCACCTTACGTGCAACGCTCTGCCACACTTGCACATGCTGCTCCGAATGCATGCCAGCACTCCACTTTGATTACTTGCAAACACACTTCCTTTACTCTGAGGTGGACTCCAGTTCACCCCAGGAGGAGATACCAAAGGTGCCTCCAGTCTTGACTTCACAGGAAGCCAGAACAAAGCATAACCTTGCGGTACTATGCACGGCGCCGACCAAAGTCGTTCTTGCCGCCACCTATTTAAAATGGCTCGAACGAGCGGTGATGTCAGGAGTAGGAAGCTGTCTGCTGGCAGCTCTGTGCTGTACCATCCAGCAGGAATGACTAGTTTGTTGGGGTTGCTGACGAGGGCCTAGCCATATAAAAAGTCCATTGTGTTGTTTCTAAGATGGTGAACTTCCGTACAATGGCCATTACATTGTTTCGAATGTGGTGGCCACGGTGCTCACATTGATGTTTATCCTACGGCAATATCTTGAGCGACTCCCGTAAACACAAGCACCGTCGACAGGCCGAGAGAGCGAACTTGGATGCACGAGATCCACCGCTTTGGTGGGAACCGCTAGAGTCACTGAATGTTTTTTCCGATTATCGCATTCTATGGGGTCTGCTGTGACCGTTCTATTTTAGCTTTGATCGGCCATTCTGGCGCAGAAACATATACGGTGGAAGGAGTTTCAGGAATGCCAACGCCTGTCTTTCAAGTGAATGCGCCGCAAATTAGCACACAAGTCAGGACGCGCTACCCGAAATCACTGGCGAGACATGGCGGTATAAAAAAAATATTAATTGTGCTGCAAAAACCTTGTAAACTAAAATTTTATAGAAACCAAGGTGACTAGCGAAGTATTATTTTGGAATTCCCCGACTTTTCCAAGCTTTCCCCGACAATATCAGGTGAAATTTCCTGACCACTGTAGAGGCGGTTTAGTATAAAAGACCATTACAACATAAGGCATTGAGCATTGAGCACTGTGAGGATCATTTTGCACGGGCTTAATCTAACTTGCATTTTCTGAAATATTAGGGTTCGTCCAGTCCGGATTAAACAAGCACTTTCTTACCGCGGGCATCGTCAGCGAAGAGTCCACTCCCGGAAACACTATGAAAACACGACGCCCAACCACACACGTCAATAACCAAATGGTAACATGGCCGCATGGCCGCCAGATGCACACTTTTGGCTTAAGGCTTGGATTAAATTGGGGTCTGCGACTTTCCCCATTTGTAACTAAATCTAGTAGCTCTAACTGAATCTAGCCTAGTGTCGAGCCCTCAATCAAATTCAATCCAAGGCTTGGACTCGATTTGTTGGCTCTTCCCTTTGCATCGGGTAGCATACTCTAATCGGGTGAGCAGAGCCCGTGCTCCGCTCTAAGCAGAATTTATTGCCTATTTTTCTGCCCCCAAGTCGTCAAGTCTTTGCTCAGAGAATTTTATGGCATTTCCGGCTCGTTTTCTCTGACAGGACTCGCTTTTTGAAAATATCCCTGACAATTCCCTGTAATTAAAAGTTCCCTGACAAATTCCCGGTTTTCCCAATCACTAGACATCCTGGGAAACATCACGCTCCTGTCATTCTGTACTAATCTCCAATAGAAATTCCTCAAAAAAAGTTTTTTTCGTTTGATTTTACGCAAAAACATGCTTCCTCAACACTCGTACAGACACCAAAGCACCCGTTCATGCAAGCTCAATTTCCTTTTCAGGGCAATGTGGCTTCGATTGCAGGGGGCCCCGGGAAGTCGAATCGAAAGGTGCGACTTCAAGCACTGGCGCATGATTGAATCGTACGACTTCAGCTGCTTCCAGATGAGGTTTTGAGAATGTGCGATGCCTTCGGACCCGGCTGACGACCCAAGGAAGACGCTTCGGCGAAGACGACATCTACGACGACGACGACGAACATCCAAACCTCGAGCAACTCTTGTCGACTCAAAAGACGGTCCTTTCGTTTCCGTGTGCTGTAAGGCTAAAGCATAGAAGAGCCTAGTATGTCGAGACGTTACTGCTTTGTTCGTCGACCATGGAGCGCCGTTATTATTTGCGCCAATGACTGCCGTCGTCACATGGTGTTGCAAAAGAACAGACAAACGTTAGTGACAAATTTCTATGGCCAAGTTCTTCTAGTTAAACAGATTACCGGTGCATTAGAACCTATATTATTAGGTACTGCCAGCCCATGAAGTGGCAGTTAAATGTCAAATGCTAAAAACATTTGAGTCTTAAAAGTAAACTGACACTGCTGCAGCACTTACAGCTACACAGTTACAATAGTGCCACTTATGATGTCGATTTCCGAGTTGCTTTAAACTGCCACAAAGAGGCATTCCCTTTTGAAAGTCTACTATAACACTTGTTAAGAAGCAGATTTCAATACCGAGGAGAGACAAATTTGCCATTTTTGAGAGTTCATTAGCCTGGTTATTGTAGTTTGTGTTACGAGATTCCCAAGCTATGCCTTGTGGCCGGAATGTCCCGGAGAAACGAAATAGAGGAAATTTGAACCGACAGATTGTACTTTGCACTTTCGTTTAAAGCTAAGTTGTACTTGCACTTTCATTTAAAGCTACTGCACGAAGCAGCAGTTTCTACTTCTTGAACTACTGCGAAATTCTATGCGTATTGTCGACGACAAACTGAAAATGAATAAAAAGAGAAATGGACTGTCACATCTTTTTCTCAGCCACTTTCTTGAGTGTTTCCGCTGGGCAAAACGCCATGTCATCGAAGAAGTGAAGTGTCTTCAACCGCCGTGCTTTATTTTCTTCTTTTACCTACAGCTGGCCATGATTGCTTCCACACCTGCAAAATACAAATAATAATAATTAAAAAACAAACCTACTTCGAACATGTGTGCTGTAGGTACAGTTCTCCATTTGCGGGAATCATTTTTCTTCTGATTCAGGGTTGTTTTTTCAGGGTTTAGTTTCCCCCCAGATTCTGCATCCTTCAATAAAACTTTTTAGAGTCCAACAAAAGCAAAAACAACAAACAATTGGTGTTTATCGGTACACATGTTTAAGGGCGGGAACTACCCAGGAAGGCAAACTTATCAACCGTAAGTACATTTGTAGCTAACAAATCGACCAATGACGAGAAGAAACAAAAACCTAAACTCGGTTACAGAAGGCAGACGACCGCCGTCACGGTCCACTGAGCGTACAAGGTTCCCTTTCCGATGCCTAACCTCCAGCATGCACTTGTTGCCTTCTCTTGTGCTTTGGCCATGCGTGCATGTTCGAAGCTTGCACCGAAGGCGGGACCGCCGAAGGACGTTCGTGCCGCTTTTATCTTATCACCGATTACAGCCCTTCGATTCTACCCGGCATTTACCAAGAAATCTCACCACGAGACACAGGCGGGGCAAAAGTTCGGAACTGCGGCAAAGGGGACTCACTCTCAAAGTCAATCTTCTCGGTGATGTTCTTGGTCTTCACGATCTCCTCCTGGTTGGCGATGAAGACTGACCCATTGCCGAGGTCCTTCCAATTGTACTGGGCGATCCACTTCTGCAGGTCCGGACCTGTGTCCGTAGTAGTTCCAAGTTTAGCGGACAAGCGAAGTAAAAGGGTCTCGGCAGGCAATGCCACTTTGCGCGAAGGTTAAAAAGAGTGATACCCACGCCTTGAGATGTTCTGACAATTTTTATAAAAGGAAGAGGCTTCTTGCAGAAGTAATGAAAAGCAAAGGTCTTTAAAAGAAAAACTGCTAAGGCTGTCGGAAAACAAATGATGCGTCGGTCAAATCCACAAAATGAGTGCAGCCTATGCGTGAAGAAATATGGCACACAGTGTTAGATGTCTGGGGCCAGTGGGTTCTGCCACTTTCAGCACACTTCAATGTTTCAACTTTACAGACCTGGCCCTCCGTTGAAATGAAGGGTTTTGAGGGAACACGATCCAGACTAATTACATCCATGCGAGACAGCGAACAGCCACCTTAACCCAAGTCAAGCAATTGGACAAGTGAATCAATCAACTGCCAATCAAGGCATCATGTACGAAGCAAGTCTGCAAGGAGAAAGGAACAAATGGCACTCACTGTAGATGTCAAGGAAGTTGCAGAGCAGGACCTTGTCAATGTTCTGGTAGGTCATGCTCACCACATAGCAGACGACTGAAACCAGAAAATGCACCAGTATACAATGTAAACACAGCCAAGCTAACAAACTTCCATTCTCCAACAGCAAATGTTGTCACCATAAAACAGTAAACAAAACAAAACATTTGTATGTGGATCTTCTACAGAGGTAGGAGAGACCTGATTCAGTCTACGGCTGACAGCATAAACTTATGTTTGCAAACATAAAACTGAAGAAGTTGCACTTCAAAGGCATGATAAAATCAATTTTCAAGCAATAAAGTGCTCACTCGGGTCCACCCTAAGGTAAGTTTGATCACCAAGAACACACGGGATAATTGAAACCCGCCGCACTTCAGCACTGTACCTCGGTAGCCCATCTCTGAAGGTGTGTCCAAGTGGAACTACAGGGCATTTCCATTGGCAGTACAAATGTTTGAAGATATGGCACTTCGATGCTGTCATTTTGGCAATGGGGCACGAGCACCGCCCAATCTTCAAAGCCATGCCAAGGACTGCTGGTGGTAGTGACGCACAAATTGGCGTGTGCATAGAATGTTTTCCCACCCATGGTGGCCAGACTAGCTTTTGAAGTGTGGTCACTTGCAAACGTGCGTCCGTCGCAGGAAGCATTACTTCCTAGTGTGGAAGAACAGCGTTTCACTTACATTTCCGGATGGAATCCTTGAAGCCCTTGATGGTCTGCAGAAACGCCTGCTTCGTGATGGCTTGCTGCAAACGGATGGCATATTAGGGACAGGACCGAGGACATCTCAGATTCTCATATGGCGCTAACGTGGCATGCGTTGATTTCACGTCATTGGCCATTGTGGTAGCGTACAATTAGCGACGCCGAATTTGTTTTTATCGGCCAGGGCAACTAGGAATGACCACCAGCACATATAATAATTGGGAGTTGGGTGGATCCTCAGACAGCGTGTCGTTGGTCAGCCAATTCAAAGTTGCGATGAGTCACACGCTGTAGATGAGCAATTCAGCCAGTGCAGTACAACCGCTAGCCTGGGATCTTTAATGTGCACCACACAGTAGTGGTACATGACTGCACGCCGGTACGATGCTCATCCGGATCAAAACGGGCAGGGGTGGGGATTGAGCCCAGGGTTCTGTAGTGCGAGCTTTTCCCCCACATGCTGGTGTGCGCTAGCCCACTGTATGGATTGGACCATTGGAGGGTTGCAAATCCAGATGAAATGCACCATCAAGGCATACTGAACTGGCATACAAGTTGGGACCATAGAGACAAAACTGTACTATGTTTCACCATACGTCCGGCCGCAGCAAACACTACAAGTCATCCTAACCAATCCCGCTCTATGATCGTAGCACATGATAATGTCTCCGTGTGTCGCTGCACCCCCTCTCCAGAGTCACGGATGCCCATGCGGCCTTTGACTGGCTCCGATGACTCATGGCATCTACTGTGCTTGGACGTAGGGTGAAACAGACTATAGAGCCTTCAAGAAGTGCAATATATTCCTCCAGATGTGTTTCCTCACTCTGGAATGCAGTGCATGTTCTTCCTTAGCCTTGTGATTCGTTAAAGCCGAACACGTGACCCCCAAGAACATGGCAACGGAAAAATGTCCTTGATTATTTATTGTTGATAAGCAACGAGCTTTTCAGTAACAGCAGTTCCGTCAAATGAGGTGTCCTGCAGAAACTTCTCCCCCCTCTCTTTCAGTCGTCCCTATTCACCCCTTTTTCGTTTGGCAACAAGCTCAGTGGCGCCATCTATTGTGTTGGCCTGGGACACTTCCGGTTCACGTATAATGTATTTCAACATTTTTTACTCGTCATTCTTTTATCTTAGGAGGAAATTAAGGCCGACAGTGCTATAAGTGGCCGTTTCCAGGAGATATCGTGTAAATTTGATTTTGCGAATATTGCAAAACCCGCTGTCTGATTTAAAACTGGAAGTGGTTGGGGGCTATTTGCACACTGGTCCCACCCCGTTTCAACTCGCATGAGATAGAGCAAATACAGTCACTCACGTCACCTAGGAATTCCACTTGTCTAAAAAGTTTGAAACAATAATTTTAGGGGAAGTCCCCAAGGTAGAGAGGAGTTACACAGGAATAAATTGACTTCCACCTGAAATGGAGTGCTACTTGCATCCTCTAGAAGACTGGTGGCTGCCGGAAAAATCCGCCTAGTCCGGAATTCAATCGCGGGAACGTTTCCAAGCAAGTGAAGAGCGCTACCAACTGAGCTAACCGGAAGCTACCGTTCAGTAGAGCAAATTAATTTTAACAGTTGTTACCAGTCTACAGGATGAGAGCTGCACTCCATAAGGAGGAAGCCATTTTATTCTTATCTGAAAAGTGAGGTTAACATGCCGTTAAAATTAAGCGTGGTTCAAGTAAATGGGACCTGGATATTTTAGCATACGAAGGAAACCTCAGTTGTATGGCACCTACATTGTCATCAGCCTTTGCCACAATCACATTCTACAGGCAACTTTTGGATGCACACAGATTCCCATACTCTGCCTCGCTGAACCAAGCCATTTCCTACTCTGCTTAAAGCATCGCACCAGAGTGCGATCATCTATTACTAGGGGGTTTTAGAATGGCATATGCAAAGGCTTTGCACACGCAAAGAAGAGCGCTGCCACCACTGCGCATGCGCCAAACGCTGACCGCGTTTTGCGCTTTGCGTGCATAAGCAAGGAGTCTCGGTGCTCCTCCATGGTGGATTCGTGATGCCCAAGAAGTTGGCTCAAGCCAAGACGAGCACAGTTAGAAAACGGTGGTTCCCAGGACAGCAGCTACAGTTGCCTTAAAGGTCGCCGTGGGCACGACGTCAATGGCATCTTTGCGACTGCAATTTTCAATACATTATGACACTGCACTCCTACGAAAGGTGCACGTCACAAACGGTTTGGAGGACTGAGCAAGGTGAGCAACGATTGCCGGCTGCTTGAGACGCAGCGACACAGCCGGGGATGAAATAAAAATTGTCGCTGCACCTTGGTGGCACTGGAGGCCCAAGACGCTCGAGCTTTTGCATCGCAGTGGAGAAATGCTGTTTTAGAACTCTCTCGCTAGGTGTGCGCTAACACAAGCGCTGAATTTAGCGCCAGCGCATGCTAAAATTGTGTATTTTATGCTAAAACTCCTTACTATTTAACGCACATTAAAGACTCCGGGCCAGCAGTGGTATCCCACAGGCTAAATTTCTCATCTAAAGCTGAGACACCACACGTCCATTGGGGTCGACAAAGTTCCCACTGCCTAAACCTGTACACACAACACAATTACTTCACTATGTCTAGCAATCTATAAAAACATATTACAGAAATTCACAGCTGTGTAAAAATGTCCAGTCGCACTCTACGTGCGAGCTCGAACCAACGCCTCTCGTCAAATGAAGAGCAACACATTGAGGCAAGACGACGCAGCTAACCGAAATAACCAAAGGGAAGTGAATGCAACTCACCCAGAATTGCTGAAACTCACACATCTCCAAGAGGTAGTGCAACTTCAGGGCCAGCGTGATGTTAGGATCTGAAAGCTAAACATTTGGGACGCAGCCATTTAGCATGCGTGGCTAGTCAACCCTCCTTCACATCCGTCCGATTTATAATTAGATGAACATATTTATGTGTTCATTTATATTGAAATGAACAAGTAAACTAAATGAGTGTACTGATAATGAGGTATGAGCGATGCTTCTTGGTCCGCTTTCGGTTTTGACCTCAAGTGGATTCGGGGTGAGACAAAGCACTTTTTAGGGAAGCCGTAATTGTGGAAGGTATGTGTGCTTTTCATTAAAATGCAGTATCCTTAGGAACCCTTTTCCTGTGATTAGGACGTAATATAAGAGCCACCTAGCTTGAGAGAATAATGCAACAGCGAGACCTTGAATTATGAACTTTCCATATCAAAATAAACTCCCAAAGAAAGCAAATATTTTAACTGAAGACTTCTTCGTTCACAAAGTATGAGCAATTTTCGGAAGGAAAAACAACAAATATTTCTATCTTGAAAATCCAAACCTCATACTAATAAAAACAAGGTTAGCGTACAAATAAAAGTGCCCCTTGTCCTTCCCCAAAAAAACTTTTAAACTGAAACGTGAGCCCATCAACAAAAGAATGCCATTACAGGCATTCACCTCTTTACACTGCTGGAACGAACCTTTCAGCCTAAAGTCGTTCAGCCTTTCCACTCTCGTGAAGAAGGAAGACTAGCGGAGCTGTACTCAATAGACTGTGTGCTTCTTCTTCGTCGTCATCTGTTTTTCGCGCTGTTTCCTATGATGAATTCCCACCAGCGCGCCCAACTATCCATTTTTCTATTATAGCTGGAAAGGTTGCCACCATCTACGAGCGACGGCAGAAACCATACTGGTTGTGTGCTTGCCGCCGTCACTTATAGATGGCAATAGCTGTCCAGGTAGGTTTGTGTCGACATACACGGACACAATCCTGGAGAACCTAGCCCTTAACAGCTCCGCTGTAAAAACAAGGTGCATTCCTGTGGCACCCTAGCAAGCTGTTGCAGCAATGCTCAAGGTGAGGTGTTAATGCCTGTTATAGGTAGAAGAATAACTGCTGACTAAAGTCAGGAGTTACGGCAGTTCTCTTCACCAAAGTGTGCCCAAAAGAACAGTTCAGAAAAGAACTGGTGCCCTCTTCAATACCTCACCCTCGATTTATGAATGCTCTAATCTACGAACACTTGCCCAAGCAACTAGTTTTTCAGGTATCACTGTGCTTTGTGTACCATACTTCTACATGTTTTGTTTTACATGTTAGTGTGAGAAACACACAAGGGTCTCAGACCTTTACATGTGTGACTCAGTCCCAGTTCAGGATGAAATGAATGCTGAAAAGTGGTGCATACCCTGTCCTGGTCGATGAGACACTTGCACAGCACAAAGTCTGTGTGCGGCAGGTTCGTGAGAGCCTTCAGCAGAATTGTGGCGACAACGTCGTGCTTGAAGTTGGACGGGTTGAACTGATACCTGAGACCGCAAATGCAAGAGCCATGTCGAGTCTTCTATTCCTCTCGAGCAACACCTTACTAGTTAAAGGTTTTGTGGGACGCTTACAGTTTGAGCACGGCTAGGTTGGCCTCCAGGTCGTACATGTTTTCCGTCGCTTGGATCTGGACGTAGTTCTCGAGCTTGATCAGGTTCTCGGGGTTGTACCTGAGAGAGATGAAATATTCGTTGAGCCGATGCCTTGTGGTTAGACAGCAATGGCTTGTAGTTGCAGGGTGGCTATACTCTGTTTGACGTTGCGATAGACCGCAGAAGACGCTGCGAGGCATCCAAGCTTATCCCAAGCCATGTGAGTGTCACGCGCCCTTCGCGAGGGCCATGAAGTCATGTGACGTGTTCACATCGTCTCATTGGCTGGGGTGGCACGTAGCGTCAGCAGCCGTCCACCGCAGGTGGAAACGGAGTGCAGTTTAGAAACAGGTACTAAGGGACAAAAACTGCGCTTGGGACACTGAATTCCGCTTGTCTGCTGGCAAGTGTGGAAGAGGTGTCCTCATTTCGGAGCTTCAAAGAAAATCCACTAGGGGACGATTTGCTTCTCGGCACCGATACAGAAACCGGATGCTTTGTGAAGTCTGTACGATCGTGAGGTCACCGCTTGTAGTTTTCGACGTCTACCGTTGTTACAAGAAAGGTGCAAGCCAAATGGGTGAATTCGGGCAGGGGGGCAACTTGGTCAGCCATTTCGCCATCTAGCTGTATTTGCACCGTTTGGAGTGACTTCCATTGCGCTCGTTTCGCACCACTGAAGTCGTAATTCCACGCTAGCAGCGAGAAATAGGAACTCCAACTGGTGGACCTATGAGCATTCGCAGTACCGATTAGCTACAAGGCGCACCGACACTGCTGGGACTTGATTCGTTTGCAATCTGTGTGCAGATCAGCCGACAGAACCTTTTTCGCCTTAGCTTCGTTCGAGAGCGGTAATAATATCCGTTGCTTTAACTTAAAAAGAGAAATTGCAGGAATCGGTCCCGTCAGTCCTAGCGCGAAGCTTTGCTACATACCTGTCAATGCCTTTGAGCATCTGGGCGACTTGCATTCGCATGGATTCCGGATTCGTCATACCCATTGGGCTGTAGTCGGGCACGAAGGATGCCATCTTTACGTTTCTGGGCTGTTCTTGTTCTTCTTTCGTGAGGATTAAAATGAAAAGATCGGTTGTATGCCGGCAACACGCGACAAATGCCGAGCAGAAGGAACGGAGCTCAACCGGAAGTTGCAAGCTGCCTTGCTTTTAGACCGGAAACATGAACGTCGTGGTCCCGCACATAGTAATCCTGCAGAAAGTGCAACATAATATTTCAATGAAATCTACAATAAAATCTCTGCTTACATTATACTTAAAATACCATGTAAAACTAAAATAATAATTAAGACAAGTTTATACACTTAATCCAACGTGATTACCTGCTCCTGTGACGTAATTTGTTGCCTGCTTCTGCCACTTCTGCTGCTTCTGCTTCGGGCACCTCGTGACTTCGTTGACTTCGTCACTTCGTCGACTTCGTTGACTTCGTGTTCAACAGCGAATCCAACTTGTTGATTTTGTCCAGTTTCAACCACAGTGGGACAGTGGTTTCAACTTTCTCGAGTGGCCGGAGTGGAGCTGCGAGTTGACAGTTTGCTTTGACAACAGTAAAACCCCTGTTGGAAGTCCTCTTTTAGTTATGGCAGGTTTAACCGACGAAGCCGCGGCGAAATGTTGTTCCGAACCCGACGCCGCTACCAAGGACTTCATCTTCCAGCAGACCATGTTCAGGATCAAGGATCCAAAAGTGTCCCTCGACTTCTACACACGAATCCTTGGAATGAGGTAATAGACTTTGCATCCTTCCCCCTCTTGCTATCCGTCTCGTACGAGATTACTAATCCGTAGTAATATCTAGAAGCGTAGCTTATTTAGCGGCACTAGTAATACCTTTTTTTTTTTTTTAATTATATAAAAATTTTATAATAAAATTTATAATAAAATTATAAAACGAGGGTGCCGTTATTCGTGACACCGGCAGAATTTATTTTGCGAACTGCATGTCGTGGTTATCAGATAACGTGCAAGAAAGTAAGAATATTTCAAGCATTGTGTTGTCACTGGCTTCTGAACTTAAACTCGATGCACAGAGTCAGACAAATGATGCTGAGGCCGTAGTCTGGAACTGGGAGCGATTTTTGGAACTTCGTAAGGGGATGGGCGTGGTTTAGTAACTGTCACGTGTCTTGTGACGTAATTCATAATGCTAAAGCTTATTTTTTATTCAAAGGTATAAGTACATAACATTCCCCTTTTTAACAACTGCTGTGAAAATATAAGCGAAGATTGTAGTACTGTGACAACATTACTAGAACCACTCAGTTGGAAAACTGCCACAGAGACTGCTCTGAAAAAGTGGCCCCAATCTGTCCACCAGAACCGAGCTAATGGCGAACACAACGCCGCCATTTCTCCTGCAGTGGCCACTCGAGGAACTGCACATTACTTCTATTTTGGCTTTAATCGGCCATTTTGGCACAGAAACAGATACAGCGGAAGAGGTTACAGGGTTTAAAGAAAAGTTTATTGACACTGTAAACTGCAAGACGTAAATCACACCGGTATACAATAGGAACATGTACGCTACAAAGATCCAGGGACGGAGGTAACGAAAAAACATAACTTAGCGAACCAAATATGGCCGCTGTTTACATCTCATCAGCAGACACGAGGAGGGTTCTCTCCTTTACCTAAGAAATGTCAGTGTAAGCCAGGCGTAGCGTTCGGCTGGCTAACGTCATATCCCCCCCCCCCCCCCTTTCACCCCACCCCACGCCTCTCACACCTGTGCGAGAGGCGCAAAAAGCAAGTGGATGTGACCACCGACCAGCCGGACGTAGCGGCAAGACCACCGCCTGAGGAACTCTTCCTCGCCCAACCAAAAGAGCTCGGAGTCTAGGTGACGGAGCAGTGTACCATGCAGTCGGGAGAGGACTGGCCACATTGCACGAGATCGTCGTTGCTGGCCAACCGCCGCACAACGATTCTGCCAGAGGACCAGTTGGCCGACTGCCAACAGGAGCAGGGCGAAGCCCCCGCGGGTGCACCTACCGCCTGACACAAAGTTCCAGATGCCGATACCCCGGAAGCCATGGTGCACCAAATGCCAAAATGAGCGCGCAACGGGACAATCAGAGAAAACATGGGTGTTTGTTTCTACCTGTCCACAGTTGGGGCACTTAGGGTCGGGAACAATGCCCCAGCGGTGGAGTCGTTGTCTTGTTGGAAGGACACCCCAGCCCCGACGCCACTCAAAATCCTGCACAGGTCCGGGAAGGCGGCGAGAAACCAACCAGGTCCACGGAAAGGCGTTCGCCCGATCCCTCTGCTCACGAGTGATCCGGGTCACGCAGAGCTCTTCGACGACGCGGGCCGGTGGCACTTCGCGCACTTCGAGGTCTGGTAACGCCCGCCTCAACTCTTCTTGGCAAGCCACCACCGCTTGGTAAAACGGTGGCGTTGCTTCTGCGCTCGGGTAAAGGTTGCCCAAAGCGCGAGGAACAAGCACTCGGCGCGAGGGCCCTTGAAAATAAAGAGCCAGGGACCGTGCCGGGTGATCCGTGTCATCTAACACCCCTAGAACAGTGCGGAGGGAGAGCAGGCGGCACACCGTGCTGACGCAGGGCATGCCCCTTCCGCCCAGTGACGTGGGAAGGCGGAGCACCGACCTTGTCACTAGCTCAGTGCCCCTGCTCCAGTAAAACCGGAAGAGACATGAGGTGATGCGGCTAGCGAATCGAGAAGGAGGAAGTGCAATGTGGGCAACATAGAAAAGTTGCCCACAAAAAACAGCTCTTACTAGGTAAGCCCTGTCGCGGAGGGAGAGCGTAAAGGTCCCTGCAACAGCCACCTGACGTTCAACGGCGGATGCTACAACCTCCCACGTGCGGGGTGCCACTCCACGAGAGTCAAAAAACACGTAGAGAACTCGGAGCTCGTTCACAATCTGGATATCCGCAGGTAGAGCGGGAGGGGAGCCTCCAAACTCCAAAGCCTGGCTCTTGGTAGTGTTTAAACAAGCCCCAGAAAGTGCGCCATACTCCAAGAACAGCTGTCCAGCAGCCTCAAAACTGTCAGAGTTGTGGACAAACAAACTGACGTCGTCTGCGTAGGCGCTAACCACGACTGAGTCCCGGCCGGGCAGCGGAAAGCCACAAATCCGGGAGCAGGATGCAAGACGTCGGAGAAGCGGATCAAGACTAAGAACGTAGAGTAAGGGAGACAACGGGCAGCCCTGTCGTACTCCCCTACTTACTGGAAAAGGCGGAAGAAGACACCCGTTGACTTGCAAATGGCCAGTCAGTCCGCTGTATAGGGACTGAAGTAACGAAATGAAAGTCTCGGGGAAGCGAAAGGCTCTCAGGACCTCGAACAGATAACTATGCTCAACCCTATCAAACGCTTTCGCTTGATCGAGGGAGACACAGGCCCCCGACAGATGGGTAAAATTCGCGTACGAAAAGAGGTCTCGTGTGAGTGACAGGGACGAAAAAATGTTTCTCCCAGGCACCGAACACGTTTGAACTGGGCTCACCACATGGGGCATGACCGTACGGAGGCGCGAGACGAGTAGAGACGCTACTATCTTATATTCTGCGTTTAACAAAGTGATAGGTCGCCAAGCCGCAGGATCCGACGAAGAGCCACCCTCCTTTGGGAGGAGGATGACGCGACCTCTTCTGAAGGATGGTGGAACTTCGCCTGTCTCCAGAAAGCCGTTCACAAGCTGGACTAGGGGATTCGCGAGGACATCCCAAAAAGTGACGTAAAATTCGGCTGGTAAGCCGTCGGGGCCTGGGGCAGACCCGACTTTCATAGCCCGGAGGACGTCAAAGAGTTCCTCGCGTGTTGTAGGACGGAACAGAGAGGAGCCGAGATCATCAGGGCAGGCTGGGAGATCTCCGCAAAAAAGGCGAACCCGCTCGGCGAAATTCGAGATGTTTACGGCGGGGTTCGAGCAAAATAGGGACGAAAAGAAATTTCGGAACACCGTGCCAATTTCACGGGGGTCCTCTGAAAGGCTACCGTCCGCGAGATGTACACTGGGAACGTACGAGTACCCGTCCCCACCGGCGCGTGTGGCACGGAGGCACCGGAGCACCTCCGGGTCTTCCACTGGCTGGTCACGCAGCCGCTGCGCCACAGCACTTCGAGAGGACATGCTCAACAGACGTTGATGGCGATCGCGAAGAACCGTGAGGTACTCAAACATCAAGGAGGTGCGCACAACACCACGCTGCACAATGCGAATGCGACGGACAACCTCATTGAGGGCCTCCGTCGTGCGGCGCCGAAGCGACTTCCCAGCTGCCGTCGCGAAAAACCGGCAGTCAGACTTCAGCGCGTCCCACTGGGCGGGGGACAAGGCAACGGCCGTCAGTGACGCCCGAATCGATTGTCGTAAGCTAGAGATGGACGGTTCGTCCCGCAGTAGCGAGATATCTAGGCGCCATGTGTCGCCGCGTGGGTACAAAAAACCCGTCACATCAAAAACCGCTGAAACCGGGCGATGATCTGAAACATAGCCTGCAGCAGATGGAAAGGAAAGCACCTCGCAGCTGAGGAGACGCGATGCAAGATGTTTCTGGACACAGACGCGGTCCAGCCGGCTCGACGACGTGCCCCGCGACCACGTGGGGTCGTACGCAGCGCCGTGTAGTTCGACCCAGGCATCGCGCAGGTCGTGCAGCCCGAGAAGCCCTAGCTCCTGAGCGTCAGAGGTATTCCGCCCGCGACCAGGCCCGCGAACGTCTCGAGAGGAGTCTATTACACAGTTGAAGTCCCCGCAGAGGAAGAAAAAACCGTCCTCGGGCACATACTGCAGAAGGCTTCTAAAAAAATCCCTCGCCGGCGTGTGGCCGCCACGAACTGGAGCGTAAACGCTTATAGCCCGAAACTTGGCATGACCGATAAAAAAACTGTACACAAGGATGCGACCGTCCGGGTCGCACAGTGAAAAAGCACCTCGCAAAAACGAAGTGCGGAATATTAAAACGCCAACACCATGCGCGCAAGAAGGTGCGAGAGAAAAATAACAAGGAATCGAAAAACGGGCCTTAAATTCTGCCACATCCCGGGCAGAAAAAAAATTAGTTTCTTGCAAAAAGAGCAGATCGCAGTGATTAGACTGGGCAAAGTGTATCACCTCGCGCTGCTTGTTCGGATTCCGAAAACCCTGCACATTTAACGTCAGAATGTGTAGGTCCATGAAAAAAAAGGAAAAGAAAAACATGGCGGACAGTCGATTAGAATTCCAGCGATTCCGCGTTGTCAAAATTGTCCGCGCCGAGCCGCTTCTTTTTAGCCGACGAGGCGGGAGACGCGTCCGAGCCGCCGCTAGCAGGCGAGAAAACGCGTTTGGCATCGGAGCGGTCGTCCGGCATGTCGGCGTCGGGAGACGCCGACTCTGCGGACGACTCACGTGACGTCGTTGTCGTCGAAACCTCTGGCGTGGGTGGCGGATGTCCCTGGCCTGGGGTCACGTCGCCTTCCTCAGCGATGAAAAGGCGGTCGGAATCGTCGCTCAGATCTTCGGAATCAATGCTGTGAGATTCGAGGATGGCGGCCGCATTCGACGAAGCGTCTGAGGTTTGGCAGTCGGGTTTAGCGGCCACGTTCGATGGAACGCGCGAGGCTTGGCTGCTGGCCGCGTTCGATGAAACGCGCGACGCTTGGCTGTCGGGGTTGGCGTCCGCGTTCCACGGAATGTCCGAAGTTTGGCCGTCGGTAGGGGCGGCCGCGTTCGATGGAGCGCCCGAAGCTTGGCTGTCGGAAACTCCGGCGTT